TATTAGCAAACATCAAAGCGCATTTGTTCTAGGCTGATTAATCTCTAATAATGCCATTATTGCTTAAGAGCTCATCCATAGCATGAATAGAAAGAGGAAGGACATGGATGGTTGGGTAGCCCTTAAATTAGGCATGAGCAAAGCCTATGACTGGGTTGGGTAGCACTGTCTTAATGCCATCATGGAAATATTAGTTTTCAGCTCTCGATGGAAGTTGATTATTTTGAGTTGTATTACATCTGTTACCTACAAGTTGGTCATTAACGGACATGTGACTAACAAATTTCTCCTACGAAGAGGTCTCCTAGGAGACCCCCTTTCACCATACTTGTTCTTGATATGTACAGAGGTTCTATCAACACCCTTGTCCAAATACCAACGGGATGGCTTGTTACATGAAGTACGTGCAAGTGTCAGAGGCTTACAAATCACTCAGTTATTTTTTACAGATGACAGTTTGCATTTCTTCAAAACAAACCAAGAGGAATGCAAATATATGAGAAACTTGCTAGAAGTATACGAAGAAGGTTCGAGGTAGCAGACCAATTGCGAAAAATCGGGCATACTTTTTAATAAAAAATACAAGTGCCGATGTCGTAGAGATGATAAAGAACTTTTTTGGGGTACAAGCCACAACAAATGCTAAAAAATACTTTGGATTTCCAATGTTTGTCGAAAGAAAGAAAAAGAGAGCATTTAAAGGAATTGTGGAAAAGATGGAAAAGAAAATCGAACAGTAGAGCTACAGATGGTTATCACAAGAAAGCTAGGAGGTCTTCATAAAGTCAGTGCTCCAGTAAATGTCTTGGTATGCAATGTCATGTTTCATGTTCCCAAAAGGATTATGCCATGAAATTAATATGATCATCGGTAGATATTGGTGGCAATAGTCATCGAAAAGAGGAGGGATCTGCTAGATGGCTTGGAAAAGAATGTGCACTGGAAAAAAGAAGGGTGGCATGGGATTTAAAGACATGGAGATATTTAACAAAGCCATGATTACTAAACAAGGCTGGCGTTTATTACAAAACACCTCGTCATTAGTTTACAGGGTACTTAAAGTACTTCCCCAAATCTGATTTCCTCGAAGCTGAGCTTGGCAAAATACCGTCCTATTCCGAGAGGAGTAAATGGATGGGGAAAAGGGCCTTAGAGCTTGGGGTGAGATGGCGCGTGGGCAAGAAATAGAGTATTCAGGTCTGGCAAGACAAATGAATTCCAAGAGATGGAAGCTTCAGGCCCACACCTAACACAAACTACATACAAGGGATAGAAATGGTATGAGTGGATATCATTTGTTGGTATCAAGGGTGCTCATTGGTAACTAGAGAAACGTAAACACTGAAGGGTCAACTGACAATGGTTCGAATATGGCATTTAGTGGTACCAAGCAAGGTAAAGATTTTCACTTGAAGGCTGTGTCACGATTATTACCACTGTTTGATGTCTTGAAAAACAGGGGAATAATGGATCAAGTAACATGCCCACGATTTAACATGCACAATGAAACCATGATGCATGCCATAAAAAAGTATTAATATGTAAATAGGAATGCCGATGTCTAAGGTAGAGAAAAGTAGAGCATTCTTCATCCCTATCTCTGAATTTTTATATTATACTTATTTTGTATTTATATCTAATGGATTTTTTAAATCTATTCTCATCTCTATTTCTATGAGTATTTAATAGATATAGATAATCCTCGTACCAATAATTTTTTTTTTTTAAATTAAAACTAAAATTTATTTTTTTAAGGTTTTTTTTTAAATTTTTATCTTATATATTTATGTAATTTTTTTATAAACATATATATTAATATTTTTTTTCAATAAAAATATATTAATTCTAATTAATCTAAAAAAATAATTTATATTATTTAATAAAAAATTTATTTACTAAATATATATGAATATATATGTAAAGTATGGATAGAGGGCAGTTGTTATATTACTCATCATTATTTCCGTATTTAATAAAAATTCAAAATTATATCTATTTCCATCTCTATCCTTGCACTCATAATGTAATGCCCATTCTCATCCCTATTCCAGTAAAATGCTGGATTTTTCGTTAGATATGGATAAGATTGACATCTTGTGGTACCAAGCACAACCGAATGGAGCATGGCAGACTACACAGGCAAAGACTACGACAGAATGATTGTCAGTACCGGCTAACAGCACCAGCAGGGAGTCATTTCGCAAAGTCACCATGTTATGTTGGGCGATACGGGGAAATAGGAGTGAAGCTGTGAAGAAAAAAGTGCTAAGACCAACCCAGCAAATGGTGGAATTTGTGAACTAGTCTGTGGAGGACTATTCTCGCACGCATGAAGGATAACTAGTGGCAAAGACAAAGCGAACAAGCCAGTGGCAGGCACCCAATGGAGAAACGGTGAAGATTAATTTCGATGGAGTATTGGACAAAGAAAAAAAAGTTTGCTGGAATAGGTGTCATTGGGAGAAATAGCAAGGGAAAGGTCCTAGGAACGTTGTGCAACACTGTTACAGGGATGAAAGACCCAGAAATTATAGAGGGGATGGCAGCGGTACAAGCAGCTGAATATGCATGCATGATGCGTTTCCTGAAAATTATCTTGGAAGGAGATGCACTTGGGATTGTCGCACAAATTGCATATGATCAAGGAAGAAACCTGTCTGCAGTAGGAAACCTGGTGATGGACACAAGGCTGGAGCTAAACCATCTTGTAGAATGGTCATGTTCCCATACTCACCGCGAAACTAATGGTGCGGCCCATAGGTTGGCAAGAATTGCGGTAGATAGGTTAGAGTCCCTGACCTGGAATGGTGGCTATTTAGAAGATATTAAAGATATTGTAATACACGAAATGCTCTTTTTGAATTAATGAAATCACCTTCACTTAAAAAAAAAGAGTTACTAATTAACATTTGTTTATATTGAACAAATGGAAAATGAGTAAGTTAAAAATGTCTATACTTAGTTCAAATTTTGTCCCGTTGATAACGACAGAATTTTGTACTAAAGGGTATTATTATGCCTATATAAACTCTTTGTTTTGATTCTCGAGTCGTGCTATGAGAAAATTTTTTAATCACTAACTCTAAAATTTTATTTTTTAACAGTTGAATTATTTTCATTAGTTATAAGACTATTTGATTTATTTTATTTTATTTGTACTTCCTTATTCAATTAAATCATTTATTTTCAACTTAGACTCACTAAAAGAGTTGAAAAAAAAAAAAGGAGAGAGAGAGAACATTAAAACGACACCATTTTCCTTTTTTTTTTTTCACAGAATTGCTAACAAAATAACAAACAGACATTTTTTAAAGGCGCAAACAAAGAAAAGATCAGGAGACGAAGAGAGAGATGGCAACGAGCGACGAGAGAGATGAAAGGGGAAGGAGAATCTCAGGGAAAGGGTTAAATCGCATGTCTCACATCACGTCGGGACGAGCCCACAGCATCTCTTCATCTTCTTTACCACCTCTGCTTGACCATGATCAGCGTAAGCCTCTACAATCTTACCTTTGGCAATAAATCGGGTGGGGACAAAATTTTGCTCAATTCGATTTCATATCAATTAAATTTGATCTCGATTTGATCTGATTTTTTTTTAATTTTTTTATATTCGAACTCAATCTGACTTGCTAGTATATAAATTATATCTGATTTGATCCGACTCGAAATTAATAAAATATTATTTTTTAAATATAAAATATTATTTTTTAAATATAAATAATTAATTAATTTAAAAAATTATTTTTATATAATATCATATCAGATTAGATCGAGTTCGGATCGGGTTTGTCTAAAACTCGAATTCGATCCGATCTCGATTTTTTTCTTAACACTACCAAATTCAATCAGATCTAAAATTCGATTTAAAAAAAAAATTCAGCTCGAATCGAATCGAACCAAAATCTGTCGGGAACGGGTTGGGTTGCCCACGCTAATCTTACCTCCTCGATCAAACCAATGGTAGCCTCTTAGGTTTATGGCCTTTAAAAGCATATTAGTTTGACGGTTTCCATTGTAATTAGATCAACATTTTAGGTATCTGTGAAAGTTTGGAGAGTGGGTTTTGTTTCGTATTCTTAGTAATAGATTCCATGACAATTCACATTCCATGGTACTTGGTAATGCGCTCTACTATTATATGCACATGCTTTTTGTTGAAAATTTGCCTTGGTGTCCAGAATGTCCATGTGAGAAGGTCCTTTGCAACATAAGATTCATGAACTGTTGTAGGTGGAATTGGTGAATGACTTATCTAGGTTGGTTACAAACTCTCAATCTTGATTCTACTCTGGTTTGTAATCAAGAATCAAGCCATTGCTCTGGTACTGGAGATTTCATTTAATGAAAGAGCGACCGAGGCAGGGATTTTTTTTTGGACCACCTATGTAACATCCATATGGCAATGATTTTGCGAAAGAAATCATGCCCAATTCACTTAGTCTTTCACATAAAAACCCACCTGCCAAGTGCTAAAAGTAGTTAATTTGCAGTCAAAAAGCCATAGCATAAAAAGCACAATTCATCTTAAATTAAACTATAGAAATGACAAACATCATTTAGTCTAATTCTCTTATTCAGACCAAAGCTCAGACATATTCTGAGTAATCTTCAAAAGTTCAAACTTCTGAATGACTTGCCAGGCTCCACAATTACAATAATCAGTACAATTTTTGTTAGTACAAAACTTGCTACCATGTCTGAGATTGTTGCTTGGAAATATAGACAGAACAGGTCTTAAATTCAATGGTTGAAAAACCTGGCTCTTAATTTATAATACTAGTTACATATATGGTTTAGATTTGTTGGATATTTTAATTCAATGGTTAGATGGTAAACCAATTTACTATGTGCAAAAACAAATTTGATAATTTTAAATATGATACAAAAACGATACAAAAAAGACATAAAAAATATATAATTTAAAATTTTGATAAAAATTATATATTAATTTGATAAAAATAAAAAATATATTTCATATTTAACGTATTAATATGAATTATGATATATTAATTTTTGTATTTTACACATATTAGACAAATTGAAAGTTTCCTCGTCTCTTCATCCTCTTAGAGCAAAGAGCTTTATATAACTTTGCTCCTTTGTACTAATCAAATATAACTTAAAGAAAGGAAATATGTGCAATAAAAGTGTTGCAATCGGGATGGGAAATTAAGAGTACAAATGAGACAGATGACTAGAGAAGCAACAGCCTTTCGAAATGAAGGATCGATATATGATAAGTCTTCTTTTGATAATCTTGTCGATGTAGGATAAGTCTTCTTTGATAACCTTGTCCAAGAGATCTCTCAATCTTCACTAGTATCGAGCAAAATCTGACGCAACCTGCTTTAGTCCCCTTTCTTTGACATCCCATGTTACTTAATATCCAGTTCCTGTCTTCACAACATCAATGGCAAGTAGTTAGAAAACATCACTTCAAAACTCATATTCCTTAACTCCAAACTAGTAATTACTTAGCTCTATTTATTATTAACATTAAAAAAACCACATTACCTAGTCTATGTTCCGTGCATCACCCAAAAGTTTTATGGGGAAATTTCCTCTTCACATGCTTTGAAATCAAAAAGTATAGACCAGCATGTCATATGAGCTTCATATGCTAGCTCAAACACCAATGGTTAATTATGCATTAACGAGTGACATTGCATGTATTTCAATAATTATAAAGGCGCCTTGAAACAAGTCACCTGCTAAATATTTCCTCTAAGTATTAGATTTTCCATCTAGAAATCAACATCAAGTTCCTTGCTAAAAATAAAGAAATAGGTTAAACAAATATTACATGCTTCAACAATTTTATGTCTGTTTGATAACAAATGAAATTAAGGTAACTATAGTTCATACTTCATGCATACCTCTCCTCTGATACACATCAGTCTTGTTGAAACGCTTTGTGGAAATCATTAGAACTTAACAAAGAGCTGAAAAGCAAGCAGATAGCAAGAGCAAATTAGTTAAGGCAGAGATGTAATAGCATTGACGTAACATTTCTTTTCTTTCCTGCTGACAAGAGGAAAAATTCAGCAGTTCATTTTGCTAAAAATCTTTGTGTTAAAAACTAATTTATAGTAGCTGGAAAATCTTCTTCATCTCTAAAATACAATCATAAAAAAAGGTATGTAAAGGAGTTAAAACTAAATGTACTGCAAAGGTGTTTGTAAGGCCATCATTGCAAATTTAAAAGCAACAGGCAACAACATCAGAGACAGATCCTGATCACATGCCAGTTTTGGAGTAATGTTTTCAGAAATAGGAAAACTTTAGACAATTCAACCACAAATTTAGGCAAATAATATGCCATACACCTGAATGTGCTGCAAATTGATATTAATAATAAAATATAAAAACACCTGTGTAGTGGCTGCAATTGCAATACTCCAAACTCTTCTGTAGAAAAGCAGTTTACTTGCACGCATAGACCATCGATTATGATACTAGGGATATGAGAAATTTTAAGCCAGTCCTCCCCTGTCTCCTTTCTGCAGCGTTCTGAAAGAATAGGACTCTGACTTATGTCCAATTGCTTTAGACTTGTATTCTTAACAATGTAGCATGGCAGTGCACTTAACTTTGGGCAGGAATCAATTGTTAGGGAACAAAGCCGAGGCATAATACTAATAAGCTCTTCTTCTTTGCTTGTTAATGGGATCCAATAACCCCACTCTTCCATATCACGAAATTCGAGATGTTTTAAACTAGGAAAGGCAATAATAGATGAAGGTGACTCTGACGATGCAGACAATGCTGATATCTCTTCTTTTTCAACACCCAAAAATTCAATTCCCACTTTTTCCAAACTTCTCATTTCCCCTATATAGAGTGATTCAAGGGATGGCAATTTCCCCAAAGGAGGCAAAATGTTCAAATGAAAGCAAAAACCCAGCGAAAGATGCCTCAGCTTGGCCAAGCCCATCATCCAGTTGGGGACAATGGTGGGGCTACTGTAGCCCCATATCTCTAATTTTTCCAAGCAAGGAGGTGGCTGTAAAGCTTCAAGAAGTCTTTCATCTTCTTTTCTCTCTGACATCAACCCCTTGGAATTAGTAAAATCTAGTATCAAATTGCGGAGGCCTTTCTTGTTTTGAAGTTCTGCTTTCTTAGCTTCAGCCACATCACACACAACTCCCAGTCCACTTATCTTAAGATGTCCTTGAAGATGCATTAAGTTTCCAAGATCACCAAGTGTAGATGCTTCTTTGTTAATTCCACCATCCATTGCCACGAACACCTTTAGCGTCCGAAGGTTTGTTAATCTCCCAATTCCTTTTGGCATTGCCCTCAAGCTCAACTCTGTTTGCTCATTCTCAAGATGCCTCAAGTTGATTAGTTTTCCAATTCCAAACGGCAATTCTTTAAGACTATCACACCATGTGAGGTTTAAGGCTTGCAAGTTACATAACCCACATACTGATTCAGGTAATTTTTTCAATTTTCTATTTTGTTTCAAGTTAAGGTATCTCAAATGAACCAAATTTCCTGTTTGATCAGGAAGTTCTTCAATTGAATTTCCAAACAAACTGTTACTCAAATCTAATGTTCTTAGACAAGTCAATTGATCAAACAACACGGGCAATGATGTGCTTAGTGATGAAGTATCATGATTGCTTGAGTCAATAAGGAGGCTACGCAACTTTTTTAAATGGTAAATTTGAGGGACTATTGGTACAGCTTCTTTACGAATCAATGTTACGTGGCGAGCCTTTTCAAAAAAGTCTATACTCTGCTCTTCAAAACCATCATTTAGTAGCATCAAACATTCGGCTTCCATTAAAAGTTGAGCAAAATCATGTACGATGTCATGCATTTTGAATTCCTTAATACCACTGTGAAGTTCAGACCTTTTAAAATCATGAAAAAAAGAACGCATCATTAGCTCATCAAAATATTCCTCACCGACAGTCTCCATCTCTTCGCATTGCACTCCCTTCAGGTAATCTTGTGCCATCCACAACTTGATCAATTCATCTTTGTTTAAGATCTTATCTTTGGGAAAAACAGAGCAATATGAAAAGCACTGCTTAAGAGCCCAAGGTAACTCGTAATAACTCAAAAATAAGGGAGGGAAAAGATCTCGTTCAGCCTCTTCAAGGCTCCATATTTCGCTATCCAAGATGCTTTGCCATTGTTCTCTAGTTCTTTTGAATCGCAGCAGACCACCTAGAATCTTTGCAGCAAGTGGCAAGCCCTGACACTTTTCTGCAATTTTCCTGCCAATATCTGCTAAATTATCACACTCATCTCTTGTCCTCCCATGGAATGCTCTATGGCTAAGTAATGACCAACATTCCTCCTGAGACAAGGCATGTAATGAAAATACCTTTGCTGTCGTTGTTCCCATAATTATGGCAACTCTTTCCTTACGAGTGGTTATCAATACTCTGCTCCCATGAGAGCAATACTTGAGGGAAATTTTCAATTGCTCCCATTTTGTAGCATCTTCAGTCCACACATCATCCAACACAAGGAGTATTTTCTTCCCCAAAACATGACTACGAATTTGCTGCAAAATGTAATTCTTTCCAACTAAATTCACAGCTTCGCCTTTAAACGCTTCAAGGATCTCTTTGGCAATCCTTATCTCATCAAAAGGATCTGAGACACAAATCCATATTCTCTTGTCAAAATAACATTCAACCTCATTGTGATTGTAAACCAGTTGAGCAAGTGTCGTTTTTCCGATTCCTCCCATCCCTACTAGAGAGATGATTTGCAAGCTCGAACCTCCTCCATTACTATTCTCTCCCACCAACATGTTCACTAGAATTGTTTTCTCCTGACACCTACCATAAACTTCTTCTTCATCTATGAAAGAGGAAGTTATTTGCCTTTCGGGTTCTTCAACTTCCTTCTCTAACCCAAATTTATACCTATCTTTGTCAGTATCTATACACTCAAGTCGTTTATTCAAGTCTTTTATCTTTGAAGCAACATTATAGTATAGAAAACTTCGAGAGGTAAAAAAAGAGATAGAGTAGCGTATCTTCTTAAGCAAGGGAAAATCTTCAACTTCTTTTTGTTCTTTCTCCAGTTGTGACTGGAGTTTTGCTGTATTCCACTCATCCAACACATCATCAACGTCATAGGCTACATCTTTGAGTTTCTTTAACCAATTTCTCACATTGGCATCCTTTAGCTGTTGAAGGCAAAGATAAGATCTACAAATGTATCAGCATCCCAAGTATATATTCAATGAACAATGTTATACAGCCCAATATTTTTAGTCCGAAATTCTGTCCCACTAGACACAATGGAATCAAAGCAGACTATGTTCCGACTTGAATTCAAGTGAAAAAATCATTTTATCATAAAAAGAATGCATTCTTTCATTGGGAATTATTGAAAAGGTCAACTCCAAGTTTTAAGATTTTGAATTGGTTGTTGATTTAGACTAGTTTTACCTGTTGAAAACTCTTTAAAAAGTAATTTTGAAATGAATAAAATACATATTAAAATAAAAATTACTATATTATCTCTATATTTTTTTAATATTTTATTATTTTATATATCTTTTTAAATATTTTGATCATGATACTTTTTTACAGCAATAATAGACATTTAAAATTTTTAAGTGCACTTATTTTTTTTTAACACTTTATAAACACACTTTTACTTCCACCTCAATTCTTATATAGTTTAAAATCTTCAATTTCAAACCCTAGATTTATCCAAACATAGGATTTCAAATTCAACAGCTTTTAAAATAAAATCAGCAGAAAAGTATCTAAAAAGCCCATGTTTGACAAAGTAAAGAGTGTTAAAGATGATAATAATTCGGATTGAATCATATTTTATTTTTTAAATAATACATAAAATTTTAAATTTTGATTTCAATTTGAATCCAATTTTCATATATTTTTATTTTTTTGAATAATATATAAAATTTTAAATTTTAAAATTTAATTCAAATTCGATTTAATTTTTACATGTTTTGAAATCAAATCGAATTTTATCGTTTTAATTTGATCTGATTTAATGATTTTTTAATTTTTAATTTATATATATTATTTTAATATAATTTTAATATATTTATATAAATCTACATATAAAATAATTATTTTTATTTATAAAAATTTTAAAAAATATATACAAAATAATAAAAATATATAATTTGTTTTATTCAAACTTTTTTATTTTTTATTTTTCAACCTGAAATCCTATCTCAAAATAATATATAAATATTTTAATTTAATTCAAACTAAATAAAAAAAAAAAAAAAACTGATATGAATCAAACAGAACATTATAATTTTAAATTGATTTTTTATTTTTTCGATTTTCTTCTCACCATTAGCCTACTCGTCGTACCTGTTTTGCTTCTGCGTCTTGAAGAAGCGATTGAATATCCTGAAAATTGGCGGCCATTTTTTGGATTTCTTCTTCAAGAACCAGAGCCACCCGAACTTTGTGTTTTATCTCTTCGGGTATCATTATCAAGGAACCCAACTTCTCCAGAACTGCTGAAACAATTAATTTCGCCATTGCTTTTTTCTTCAGACTGATCAAACAGTACCAAAGACCACTCCAAATTATTTTATAGGAGGAAAAACCCTGAGAAAAGAGGAAAAAAAAAAGTATGAAGGCAGGCTGAAATTGGGGTTTTTGTTTGCTGGTGAAGGTACACTTGGGAATTTGTAATTTGGCTGCTGTTTATCACATTATTCCTTCTTTTGGATCTTCTTTCTGTGCACGCAAAGTTCTATAAATAGATTAGTCTTCGACTACAAGATTATGAACATTAAAACCCTTCGTTGCCAAGGTACCGCAAATTAGTGGAAACACTCCTACTTTAGTCAGGGTGCACAAATCCATTGTTTCTCGCTTTCTCGCACTTTCTGGTTACTTGTAAACATCATACGCGGACACTTGTTTTGTGTTTATTCTCGCCGACTCAGTTTAAGATTTTTTTATTTTTTTTCTTTTTTTCTTTTTTTTTTCAAATGTCTTAAAATGATGCTTTTTTATTTAAATTTTTATAAATTTTTTAATAATAAATTTTAAAATACATAAAATTTTAAAAATCTTATTTTTTGTAAAATTAAAAAAAAAAAACGCAAAGAGTAATTGAGTAAGAAGTAAGATTTATTACATAAATTTAAATTTTATATCAAAATGAAGATAAAGATTGTAAAGAAGATTAATATTTTTTTAGCATAAGATTATTCAATCATCTTCAAGTAGAGAGAATTATTTTTATTTATGAGATTACATTTATATGTCTAATTATACCGTTAAAATTTATATCAATAATTTAATCTGTATAAATTTTAAGAAAACATAATTTAACAAATAACTACATTATTTTATCATATTCCTTACATATATCAAACAAAAAAATATGATAACATTATTTTATTTAATTTTATTTATAATATTATCTTAGTTTATTTTATTATAATCTTATATATTAAATATGATCTTAAAACATAATATTTAATAAATTTAAAATTCAAAAATCAAGTTTTATATATTTTTTTATTTATAAAAAAGGTTTAAAATCTTATTACGATTACCCAACTTGTTTATGTCAATTAGCCCACACCTAGACCCAATCTGCCCCACTTGATAGTTGATAATAAAGTAAATTATACTACTTACAATTTTGAGATTTCAAGTTTTTCAACTTTCACATATTTATTTATTTATTTATTTTGTATATAGCATTTTGTGATTTAGTTCCATACTTAAGAGGAGTTATATCAACTTGACAAATTATGAAAATATTTTAAAAAATGAGAAACCTAAAATAATTTGATAATTTTAATGAGTGAATTTACCATCCTAGCTTTTTTGAATGATAGAATTGAAATATCTTTTTTTTTATATGGTCATAATTTGATAAAAATTAAAAAAAAATTAAAAATTTAAATTTATTAAGTATCATTTCTAAAAACAATTAATTAAATTAATTAAATTAAACTTTTGATTATATAGATGTTCTTTCAACGTGTTAATGTGTATCTAACAATGGAGGTATCACCGAAAGTAACGACAGAGATGGCCAAAAGAGTCAATCCATTTCCTTTTGTAGGCCAAGGAAATAAGCAAATTTTCAATTCGTTTGATATAGGTTGAATACATAGACATAGGCAAGCCATGTCCATGCATGTAAAAATGGAAAGTTTCACAAGGTCCCACCGTATCCCTTAGCAGTGCGAGAAAGACTGAAAATTGGTGGCTGCCACTCAGAGTTGCCATATATGGTAACAGTATTGTTAAACATAATTACAAACTCAGAAAGCATGTAACTTATCAAATAAAAAATTTAATTTAATTATTTTATATATTAAATTTAAAATTTGAATTCTAATATTTATAATTTCTTATGTTAAATTGTGTCCTTGTAAAAAATTTTCTAACCTACCATTCCCATTCAATGTTTCTTGCTAAAAATATACATGCATGGTTTTTGCCTTTTACAATTTGGACTAAACTTTTTTTTTATCTAAAACTTTCTATCACTTTTTATTTTCTCTAGAAAGTCATATCTTTAAACTTTTGCAATTCATAAGATAAATTTTATAAATGCACAAAGTATAAGACTTTTCATTGGGAGTGTTATGTAGCACCTTCAATTTTTTTTAAAAAAAAAAAAAAGAGGTAATTGTTCTTTGATTTAACCAAAAAGAAAACAAGAAAAGGATAGGTTAACGGTTTTTGACATGAACAATTAACAAAAATCATGTTTTGACATAAAAAAATGTAGTTAAAAAGTTAACAAATATCATATTTTTGTTTTTGATACATAGTTTTTTAATATAATCCAAGTACCACGTTTCTCATATAGAAAAAGTGATTTTTGTAAAGTCAAAGCTAGCTCTTACCTATATTTATTTGTCAGACCTCACTTTTAACATGATATTGAGATTAAAAAGAAAAAATATATTGCTTTCATGAGCTTTCATAACTGTTTTTTTTTTTTTTTTGTTTCAAAAATTCTTAGAAAAGTAAAAAAGAAGATTTGGTGAGATTTTGATGCACAAAAAGTATGTTTTTTACATAAGAAAAGTAGTTTTTGTAGTTTTTTTTTGTTGTAAAAAATTCTTGTAAAAGTAAAAAAGAAGATTTGGTGAGATTCATTGACTTACATTTTTTTTATCACTTTTGCTTTGGTGCACAGAGACTATGTCTCTTTACATAAGAAAGAAAGTCTTTGTAGTTTTTTGTTGTAAAAAAAATTCTTGCAAAACTAAAAGGAGAAGATTTGATGATATTCGTTAACTTACATTTTCCATTATCACTTTTGTTTTTTTAAGACTATTAATTAATATGAAAAATAATAGAATAATTATTGAGAAGGTAAGATAAGAGTAAATGGGACCCAAAGAACCTCTAACTAAAAGTATAAACATAGTCATTAATCTAAAAAATTTATCAAAAGCTATGTTTTTCAAATTAGAAATGCAATCTTTAGTTGATAGTTATAAAAAAATATTTTACAAAAATTATGTTTTTAAAAATATAAACATAGTCATTAATTAAAAAAATTCACCAAAAACTACATTTTTTAAATTAGAAACATAGTATTTAGTTGATATTACAAACACTAAATACTACATTTCTATAATTATAAACGTAGCCTTTAGAGTAAAATCCATAATATAAATTTTGTAGAGATTTGAATGCAAGTGGGGTATCCATGTGGCAGGACCCTTTTTTTTCTTTCTTTTAAAAATTTTTGTTATTTTTTAAATGCTTTTGCTTTCTTTTTATTTTATTTGTTCTTTACTTTATTTTTTAAATTTTTTCTTTTTTTAAGCCTTTTTATTTTTTATTTTCTTATTTAATTTAATTTAATTTGTTTTTTACTGTTTAAGAAAAATCATGTAAAAAAAGGTCAATGAATATAAGAATGACAAAATATTCCGTATCTAATGGATTTTTTTTTTTACTTTTTTAAGATAAATTATGTAACAAAAAAGTTAATAAATATAAGAAAGGATGTCCACATGGCATATCCTTTTTTCAAAATTTTATTTTTTTCATACTTATTTATTTATTTTTTATTTGCATTATTTTTTATTAAATAAATTTTTTAAGGAAAAAATTAATGAAAATAAGGATGATAAAACAATCTATATCTAATTAATTTCAATTTGTCTCAATCCAATATAAATGTAATTTAAAAATAAATGTAGTCGAATCGATTTTTTTTTTTTGAAAAATTGAAATCAAAGCAGAGATGAATTTAAGGTGTTTTATCCATATGATAAAAAGGTTACACTTTTTTTCTTTTAATGTTGATGGTGTTCACCTTAGATCTTTTCAATTGTTTCATTTTTTTGTTTTATCTTTTTTAATAAAATGATTGAGATAATGGTATAGAAAACGATTGAGATGATGGTAATAAGTGAAGTGCAACATAATTCTAATAAGATATTTGATATTGGAGGTGATGAATGAGTGAATCACATACATGTCCTTGTTAGAAAAAATTTATTTTATATTTTTTCTTTTCTTTCGTTTTCTCTCTTGTTTCTCGCCCTTTAAACTATTTTATCTCCTAACTTTCCCATAACCCTTTAAAAAGAAATCTGATATACTATCTTCTACTGTTCATCCATTGTCGATCATCGTTTGCTAGCAATGGATTTTCATAAAAAGTACCTTCAACCTCCTTTTGATTTTCTATTCCATTTATCAAGTTAGAATTTTCAAAATCAACTAAGAAAAGCCTAGATCTAAATTTAAAACTCATAACTTCAAACTTCTAAAAACTCCATTTCCACCATCTAAAAAATAGTATGAAATTTAACTATGTTACTCTCCTCTTTTTGCTATTTATTTCTTCCGATTTAGATTTTTTAACACCTTTTATCATCAAGATTCACCATTATTATTGTCATCGTCCACTTATTATATCTGATTGATGTTAGGCAAATCGGTTAGCATGTTTTTGACTTTGTATGTTTTTAAATCTTAATGTTTTTTCTTAAGATTTTTTTTGTTAAATATGACATTTATTACCTTAAAAATTTTTTTGTTGTGATATTCTTACAAGTGTACACATGAGTTTCAATTTTATTTTTTCAGATACTTTCAATATCTTTGTCTTATTTTTATTTACTATCTCATGATGTTTTTGTTTACTTAATACCCTTTTTTTATTGTTTTATTGCATTTAGACAAATACCCATAAGCTTTTTATGTAAGTTCTTTGAAGTTGTTGTATCCTTCGTTATTTTATTAGATTATACTTTTTGCTGCAAATCACATATAATTGGCTTTGTTGCTTTGTTGATGATTCATCTATTATTTAAATTTCTGTTACATATTATGGTATAAAAAGGAAAGGAAAAAATTGAAGGGTGAGAAAAAGAAACAAAAAAAAAAAAGAGATTGGGATTCATCTAATTGTAAATTAATTAGAATATTACGGTAAGTTTTTCATTTTGATGTTATCAATAAACTCAAAGTTGTAAGTTATTCCAGATTATAGTTTCACAAATCATTAAAGTGTTTATGATTTTTATCCTGTATTTTTTAATAAAAAATAATCTTTTAAAACTTAAATCAATCAATTTTCTATAATGTATATATTATTGGAATTAATTATGAAGTATAATACGTTTGTTCTCTGACTTTAGTTTTTTTTGTTTTCGCAGTTTTTAAAAAAGATTTATTTGTCTTTATATTATATTATATTTTTAATTGATTTTCAAAATGTTTATTTAAGGTTCATCATATTGTAAGGGTTTTAGTTGT